AAAACTTTGTCCCTATATATATTGTACCATATGTAAAGATCACATATCTAGTAAAATGACTATAAATTTTTATATTGTATTTTCAGACTGTTTTGGAATGTTTTTCCTCTCCCAAAATTTTTCACTACAGAAACATATAGTATTATATTCTACAAAAAAATATATATCAACCTGTTATGCCTGTTCCTTCCCTTGTCTAAAGATTTAAATTTTTACAAATTTTGACTGAAGGTTTTCACAATTAAATCTATAAAAAAATAATATTTTAACAAATTTCGAAGTTCAAATTATAGAATTCTTCAAAATCTAAATGCAATCTTTCTTTGTAAAATGCATAACGCTGATCAGATTGATTTCAGAGTTAATAACTGATGAAACAGAACATAAATGTAACCAATTAGCATCATAATACTTTAGTTGATAATTCATTATACTTTATTTTTTACAAAACACCCAGTGTTTCTGTAGTGACTGCACTGTTTCGGTAGTGACTGTTCTGTTTCGGTAGTGACCATTATTCTGTTTTTAATGTTGCATCATATTTCCTCAAATGTATGCCTTATGGTGGGAATATTACAAAGACAAAGACAAATGTTTTGTGGTCAATAAAACAATTTAATTTTTGAGAGAGCAGAGCAGAGTAGAGTAGAGTAGAGCGGAGCAGAATAGAGCAGAGCATAGTAGAGTAGAGTGGAGAAGAGTATTGTGGAGCAGAGTATAGTAGAATAGAGCAAAGTAGAGCAGAGTATAGTAGAGTAGAGCAGAATATAGTAGAATAGAACAGAGAAGAGCAAAGTAGAGTAGAGTAGAGCTGAGTAGAACAGAGCAGAATAGAGTAGAGCAGAGTATAGAGTAGAGCACAGCACAGTAGAGTAGAGCAGAGAATAGTAGAGCAGAGCAGAATAGAGTAGAGTATAGTAGAGCAAAGTAGAGCAGAGTGAAGCAGAGTATAGTAGAGTAGAGCAGAGTAGAGCAGAGTAGAACAGAGCAGAGTAGAGCAGAATAGAGTAGAGCAGAGTATAGTAGAGTAGAGCAGAGTAGAATAAAGTAGAGCAGAGTAGAACAGAGCAGAGAAGAACAGAGCAGAGTAAAGCAGAACAGAGTAAATCAGAGTAGAGCAGAGTAGAACAGAGCAGAGTAGAGCAGAATAGAGTAAAGCAAAGTAGAGTGGAGCAGAGTATAGTAGAGTAGAGCAGAGTATAGTAGAGTAGAGCAGAGCAGAGTAGAACAGAGCAGAGTAGAGAAGAACAGAGCAGAGTAGAGCAGAGTAGAGCAGAGTAAAGCGGAATGGAGTATATCAGAGTAGAGCAGAGTAGAACAGAGCAGAGTAGAGCAGAATAAAGTAGAGCAAAGTAGAGTAGAACAGAGTAGAATAAAGTAGAGCAGAGGAGAACAGAGCAGAGTAGAGCAGAGTCGAGCAGAGTATAGTAGAATAGAGCAGTGCAAAGTAGAGCAGAGTAGAACACAGCAGAGTAAAGCAAAGTAGAGCAGAGTAGAGCAAAGTAGAGCAGAGTAGAACAGAGTATAGAGTATAGCAGAGCAGAGTATAGTAGAGTAGAGCAAAGTAGAGCAGTATATAGTAGAGTAGACCAGAGTAGAGCAGAGCAGAATAGAGTAGAGCAGAGCAGAGTATAGTAGAGTAGAGCAGAATAGAGTAGAGTAGAGCAGAGTAAACTAGAGTAGAGCAGAGTAGTGCAAAGAAGAGCAGAGTACAACAGAGCAGAGTAGATTATAGTATAGTAGAGTAGAGCAGAGTAGAGCAGAATAGAGTAAAGCAGAGTAGAGAAGAGTAGAGTATAGAGTAAAGCAAGGTAGAGTAGACCAGGGTAGAGTAGAGCAGAGCAGAGCAGAGCAGAGAAGAGCAAGACTTTGGACCACAAAATTATGGGGTTTAACTACTGACCATTCCATTTTGTCACTACCTAAATGATCATGTCACTACCGAAACTTTACCATAGGTTTCGGTAGTGACTGTTTCGGTAGTGACAATCCTAGCTATTTTTCAGGATAACTAAAGAATGCTAGCAGTCACATGGCTAACAAGCACATCTTGTGTTTCGGTAGTGACATGAAAACAAGGGATATTATTTTTTTAGCATAGTTTCTTAATTTAAAAATTAATCCCACAATACATCTAAATCTTTCAACTTCTGTTTAAACTTAATCACAAAGATGTTTTAAATTACACTTTTGAAAAAAATATGAAAAATGTTTTAAGTGTTATTTACATGAATTGAATTTTAGAGGTCAGGGTTGGGGACAGCTACTTCCCAATAGAAAGTACCCTATAAATGGTGATTTTGTATTTATTTAGCTTATCACTTTTTCATTTAATGTCCTGGGTTTAAATAGGTCATAACATAATCTTTGTAAATATCTATGTCTGAATACTCAATTATATAATTTTTGTTGTTTTTTTGTCAAGGGATAGCACTTTGCACAAAATCAGTAGAATGCCCCATATATGGCTTTTGCCGCAGCGGCACGGATTCAACTCCGGCCTGTGGCACCTTGCTGCATGTCACTCTGTCTCTCTCCCCCTTTCAAGCTTAACTGTCCTGTCAGTTTAAGGCAAAATGCCTTAAATGATGACTTATTAGACTTATGACTTATGACTTATCTCTTTCTGGAACTGAAAACCCAGAATTTCCCTCATTTCAGGGTTAACATACTCAGAGTTTTCTCTGAACCCACTTTCTGGAATACCCCTCAGGTTCTGTTTGTGTCATTGACTTTCACAACAAAAGGAGCTGCAGCTCGATATTAGTGATTTAGAATATTACACATATACTGCACATTTTTTTCATTTGTTTTATTCTAACAAATAAAAAAAAATATATACATATATGTACATATATACACACACACACACACACACACACACACACATATATGATGTTTTTTGTTAACCACATGCTTTTGTTACACAATAAATACCCATAAGCCTTGTGAATACATGGTGTTTTACTGATGTTATACGTTTATTTTGAAAAGACTGTATGCATCTAACGAGCAGAAACTGTATATTTCCTGTGAAAGTGTATTTTGAAGAGAGACAATACATGAGTATATATATATATCAATCAATCAATTTTATTTATAAAGCCCAATATCACAAATCACAATTTGCCTCAGAGGGCTTTACAGCATACGACATCCCNTATCCGACCCTCACAGCTGATCAGGAAAAACTCCCCAAAAAACCCTTTGACAGGGAAAAAACGGTAGAAACCTCAGGAAGAGCAACTGAGGAGGGATCCCTCTTCCAGGACGGACAGACGTGCAATAGATGTCGTACAGAGCAGATCAACATGATAAATTAACAGTAATCCATATGACACAATGAGACAGAAAGAGAGACAAAGACAGAGAGAGATGCAGGACAGACAGTAATGACAGTAGCTTACAACAACATTAATGAAAGTAATAATATTATAATAATAATTACGGCTATTGTGGTACAATATGTTGAAAGTATATATTAATATCTGATAGTATATGTATGTGACAATAATCATATGTGTATAATAACAGTAGAAGTATGACTAATGATAACAGCAGCAGGAGGCATCTGGCAGGACCACGGCAGCAGCACAACCACACGTCACACTATCCAGGCACCGCTGCAATATAAGTTGACCTGCGAGACAGTGGAGCCCAAAGGCTCCGGAGAAGAGGCCAAGTTAGTGACATGCAGTACAGCCAAGTTAGCGAGATGCAGTAACAGGACATGAGTGTTACACATAAACATAGTGTGTGTATATGTATATATCTATTCATATATAAGCTAGTATACACATTTTTACCTGTTACACAGCTTTTTTGGACACGCAACCTGGTACAGGGCTCTGATTTAGAGGTTCCGTTTCACCTGATCTGCGTGTAATTGTGGTAAGGCAACTGCCGACAACTGCAGTTTTTCGAATGGCCACTTGAGGCCGGCTCCAAAAGTGAGTCAGTCCCCATTGACACCCATCGTAGAAGGCAGAAATAAACATGTACAGGCTGGTACAAACAATGTTTTTGGTCGCTGTGGGTTAATTTCCCATTCATGACTACTGTACAGTGGGGGGTGAATTTTGACATAACTTGCCTGTTTAAAAAATTTACCAAGGTTTAAAGTTACACTTAATTAAGGGCATGGCCACTTGGAGTGACAGGATGTCTGCAAGACGTCACTGCTGTCTTTAACTTAGATCCACCCCTCGCTTCTCCAAAGCTCCTCCCTCCCTCTCATCCAAATTTAGTCAGGTGGGAGGGTGAATCTGAGGCATCAAAACAGCAGTTCACAAACCAATGGATGATGTCGGGTGGCTACGTCCATTATTTTATACAGTCTATGGAGGTAACCAGAGCAGGTGTAGGGATCCATGGGAAGGATCCTTTATGCTGATAACTAACTCTTGAGGTGCACTAGGGCTGAACAATAATCTACATTAATGTATATCACAATATAGCAAATTGATGCAGAATCATTTCAATACTCACTATCATGTTAAATGCAATGCCCTGTGTTGCAGTCTTATGCATTACATTGCACCAAGCTCTTCCCACATGTAAAACCAGCAACTACCAACTAATAATTATTTTGTCACTTTTTACTTACAGTATCCTTGGGATCGTTGTTTTGGGAAATAAAACACTCACATTGTGCTCTTTTTGCCTTTTCTTTTAGTTCTTTCATAAGCAGTTCCAAAGTTCCTGTTGATGATATTTTAATTAATGGAAGACAACTACTTTGGTGTTATTTTTAAGGCTCAAGTGTGGCAGAATATTTTGAATATTTTTAAAGTCATAAAGATTATCAGCATATATAACATTATATTTGCTTTCAGTACCACACTCTCTCTCTCTGTCTCTGTTTCTGTCTCTAGGTGGATGGTATTAAGACAGGACTTCCTGTCCTTCTTGAAGAAGGAAGCATCTCCATAATAAAATCTGGAATTAGAGGCATACTCCAGAGTGATATCGGTGTTGAAGTCACTTTTGATTGGTGTACACTTGTCATGGTGTCCATCAGCAGCAGTTACTATGGTAATGTTGCTGGGCTCTGTGGCAACTACAATGGCAACATAGAGGATGAGCTAACAACCCCCAGAGGCAACACAGCTGTTAATGTGACAGACTGGGCAGGGTCATGGAGCATCGAAGACTACGACCCATTCTGTTACCATTACTGTGAGGGCAACTGTCCTAAGTGCTCCGAGGAGGACCGCATAAGGTAATGTTATGTAATATCAAGTTTTATATTAACCTAAATAACCAGTATTTTAAGGGCCAGAGCATGAACAACACGAGGACCCTCTTGTGAAGCAATGAATTATCATTATTAGTGAGTGAGCACCAACCACAATTATTGTTAGTATTAGGCCCTGAGAACAGAACATAGGAGTTGTTCAGTGGTGTTCATTATGTCTTCACTTTCTGATAATCACTCAGTGTTTCCCATTAATTAACGAAACTATGGCGGCCATAGTTTAATTTGACCCGCCATAGTTTCTAAATAAAAGATTTAGGGTGCCGAAAGTATTGACTTCTCATGATATAAATAATATCTCGAACGCCGTAGCGTTTTGTGCCGATGTGCTCAGGCTGTCAGATCCAGCGCTCGACAGTGCGAGCGTTTCACTCGACTAAAAATACGTGTGTGCGAACTGTAAAAAATATTTAGGGGCACATGTGCGCATAAAAAAAAATCAGCCGAAGCAGCCTATATTTTTGTCAATAAAAAAATATGATAATCTAACCGCAAATGTTGAAGGAACTCCAGCCGCCTTCCCTCTTCCCTCTTCCCTCTTCCCCGTGTGACACGGTTATGGGCGGTTTTCCAAGCCACTGTCGGCACAATGAATATAAGTCCCACTGTTGGCTGGGTGGAAATAACTCAAAGGGCTCTAGTTTCCCGACGCAGCACAGGGTGGCGCAGGGTGGCGAACCCCGCGCAGAACTAGTTTCGAGCAGCGCAACCCGAGGCGCCCTCAGTTTGGTAGTTTAGCAGACCGAGGTGCGCTGAGATGGGTGTGGTGGCGGAGCAGGGGGAGGTGTCGACAGATCCAGCTTGGCGTAGTGACAGTTTCGTGCCAAAAGGCTTCGCCAAAGGTGCGCTAAAAGCTCGCCATCTGAAACCAGGTCTACTGTCAGCGCAGGGGGAGCGCAGCCGGTGTAAGCCGAAGTTTGGCTGACCGGCGGGCAGTGCGCGCACGTCAACAAAACCTCACAGGCAGGTTTCCAGAATGTCAGGCACATTAACGATGCAATAAATACCCACAAAAACCACTATTCAATGCAACTATCTGCAATCAGCACATAAATGTATCTCTATATCGACTGTCCTGTCACATCTGATGTCAGATCAAAGGGGATTGGCACCGTTTGGCACGTTTGGCACGCGTAATGGAAACCCAACCTGATTTGATTAAACAGCTGCAAACTAGTGAGTTCACATCCCTCTCAGCCAACCACAAACAGCCACAGCATCAGATAGGGAGTATATATTCAGCATCTGTCATCTTAGAAAAGTCAAAAGAAAAGAAACAGAGTGAGACTGCGAGAGAGAAAGAGAGAGAGCGCGCGCACGAGAGAAACGCATCATTGACTCCTCCCAGGCTACCTTTGCATCATCAGCCCGTGGAGGTCTGCTCGCAGTTCCGTATATTCGGACACTGCGAGCTTGGACCTCCCGGACCAAAACATCAGTTTCCTCCTGGGAGGAGTTTGGCCGTCTGACGCTGTTGCTCTCTTCTGTCATGGCGAATTGAGTAAACTCTCATTACGCCTTCGTGCGGCGCATTTAAGGGCGAGGAGAGGGGCTCATTTGATTGGTGTGATGTGTGTAAAACCCACTCCACGCCTTCTCTCCTTCCTCTTTCCGACTTGCGCAGGTAGGAAGGACGGAGGTGGGAAAGAGGAGTAGCAGCGCCAGCGCGCACGGTGTGCCAAACTTGCAAAATCCGCCTGGCCACACCCAGTTGGCAAAGCGCAGGTGCGCTGCGCCCCCGCCTCGCCCGGTCTGCGAAACTAGAGCCCAAAGTGTGGAGAAGAGGGACCGGGAAAAGCGGCGGACCTCCGGGGAAGCCTGCTTCGTTCTGCCCGCAGTTAGGGACCGTTCGCCACGGTACTGCTGCTGGGCAGGGTGGAAATAAGTCCTGCAGAGTTACAAAGGACCTGGAGAATGTTTTAGGATGGTAATAACATTATATGAGATAATCATCTTACAAAGATAATATAAGATAATAACATTAAAGACAAAATTAAATTGCAATACTTTTTCAAAACTTGATGATTTTACCTTTTGTAGCCTATACAAAATCATTTCAATTTCAATTTACAATGTTCAAAATTTTCTTCCGGGCGGGGGGCACTGTTTCCCAAAATCCTGTGGGAAACACTGAATCACTTTTACCTCAGACATGTATTAAGGGGTTACATACCTCTGTAGGCTTCTTGACATGTTTCAGTGGAAACTTCTGCCTTCCTCAGAAGTGTCACTTGATGGTGGTTGTGAAGCGTCTTTATCAGCTGATTGATGTAAGGGAGGCGTGACCACGCCTCCTGCTGTCCGTCCGGAGGAAAATAAGGTAAGGCAGCGGGGCCCAGGGATGGTGAACAGGGACGAGGGGGGATACATGCTCTCCCACACCTGGATCAGTGTCCTGGAGAGGGGGCGGATGGACAGCAAGAGGCGTGACCGTCCTGTCAAAACTGACAGGACGGTCACGCTTCCCTAACGTCAGCTGATTGACATATCAGCTGATAAAGACGTGTCACAACCACCACCAAGTGATACTTATGAGGAAGGCACAAGTTTCTGCCAAAACATGTCAAGAAGCCTAAAAAGGTATGTAACACCTTAATACATGTCTGAGATAAAAGAACAACTTAAGTGAGAACATAGGAGGTCAAGAAGGCCTCATTGAGACTGAAGAAATTATTAGGGCCTGAGCAAAGACCAGTGTGAGCATCCTATTATAATCTCAATATTTATGATTAGGGCATGAGCACCAACCGGTGTGGGGACTGTGTTGTAATTGCTTAATTTATTATTATTTTACAAAAAGAATTGCATTTTTGTGGGGTTAAATGGGCTCGAAAACTCAGGACACTTTGCACGTGCATCAATAAAAAAATGTTTTATTGGTTTCATGCCTGGGAATGACTCAATAGTGCCCCCTAGGAAATTTTGTAGAAGCAGACCCTGTGGGATGTTTCACTTGGAGTTATGAAAATTGGAAGGTGCCTGTAACATCCTAAGACTTAAAAAAAAAAAAAGTCTCAAAGAACCAGTGCCCTGCACAGACATTTTGCAGGGCAGGTGCCCATGTGGAAAAAAAGGGCATGTCTTTCATGTTTTTTGGGGTTTTTTTTAATGTATTTGTGAAATGCTGTGGCAAAAGTGAAAAAAAAAACATTGTGCATGCTGTAGTAGTCTATAAAGTAAATAATCATCACAATCAACAATTTTTTACACAAAATTTAAAAACACTGTTCTCTGAATAAATAAAATTACAAACCAACCTGCTAGAGTGCTGGAGGGCTACTGGTGATTTTATGCCACACTGGCTTACTTATTGTTAAGCTTTAGGGTGGGTTTTTGCCAAAGTTAGTCTGGCTGTATTGAGATAATTTATAAGTGATTTAATTTCACAACAGTGACAAACAATGCTAAGGCTTAGGGCAAACGCTATTGTTACCTGGTTGTCCATGATTGCAGGTCAGGAAGAGAAGAATTGATGCCATGAGCCAAATTGAAAAACTAAAGTATAAGAATATTAAAAAGATGTAGGAAAAAAACATGTCTTGCAAAAAGGGCACTTACCTGGACAGAGGGCAAAATGGCAGGTGGTGCAGCACCACCTGGGGTCTATCTGTCCACATGACATCTAAGAGATATCCTTAACCCAACAGGAAGTCAGTCAGTCAGTCAGAACTTGTCACTTTGTGGCATTTTTGCCATTTTCTGGTATTTAACAAACTCTTTCCAGAGATTTTGCTTGATTGACTTTAGATTTTGGCAGTATAATCTAAAGACCTTGTTGATGCTACATTGTGAAGCTTTTAAGTTTTTGTCAAACAGCACGGCTAAGGCTTTAAATTCCCATGTTTTGCCATGAAACAGGAGGGAATTTTTAACTCTTCAGTACATGATTAAATCTCCCCCAAACGTCACATGGTTGAGATGGAATTGACCTAGGGGCCAATATTGACTGGCAACAGGAAATTACATTTTATAATCTGATGACCCATCATCACTGGTTCTAGCAAATTGATCAGATCCACATGGGCAGAAAAACCTCAAGACCCTATTGATGCCTTATTGTGAAGTTTTTGTCTAACAGCATTGCTGTGGCAGTGCAGTTAATTCCCAGGCTTGACCAAGACATAGGAAGCTGAGCGTCAAGGCCTGAAGACAGCTACAGACCAATTTACAATCATAGTCATGGTGCCACCTACTAGCAACAGGAAATTGCATGTTTTATACCTCGATTTACTTCTTGTAGCAGGTTAACCAGAGCCACCTCAAATTTGCTCAGAAAGCTCTTAAGACCTTAATGATACTCAAAAGTAAAACTTTTAAGTTTTCAATAAACACTGTTGCGATAGCGATGCATTTTTCTCCATGAAACAGGATGTTGTTACTGAGGGGCTAGGGATGCTTGAAAAATCACAAGACTTGGTACACCCATCAGAAGCACTTAAACGTGTTATCTGATTTGGTTTTTATGCTTAGGTGTGCCAAGGGGGCTTGTTAGCGCCCCCTACAATATTTAAACGAAGCAGTCCTCATTGCATATTTTACCAAGAGGTACACAATTTGGTGCGCACATGTATCACCTCTAGGCTTAAAAAAATCTCTTGTGGCCATGCTGTAAAGTAAACAGGATGTCGGCCAACTTAAACTTAGTGTGAAGAGTAATGCTGAAAACAGGCTCCATATTTAATATTACATGCCAACCCCTACTAGCAGATTAACTTTATTGACCCAATCTCAAGACCCTCATGATGCTAAATGGCAAAGCTGCTGAGTTATCATCAAACTGCATTGCTTTGGCAGTGCAGCAAATTTTACTGTTTTGACAGAACACAGAAAGCTGTTGAAACTTGACTTTACATAATCCAATGTGCCACAAGTTTCACATTGTCCAGTCCTGAAGATATCTACATACCCAAATTGACTCATAGTCATAGTGCCCCCTCTGGGCCTGTCATCACTACTTACATCAA